CTCTTCAAAAACATGAAAAAGCCATATATCTCAATGATGAATCTATCACTTACTAAAAAGGACCCCTTATTCCCAATACAATGTATGTGAAACATGAATATAGACTTGTGTTCATTGACTATGATGGTCAGTACAGGTTTCAGCGAGTGTATGAGTTACATCTCTACCCAATAGATCACGTAGAGTATCTTCGAACTTGGCTGAACGAAGATATCTATGGAGAGATGATGGACCACAAGATTCAAAAGGAATTGCTCAAAAGAAAAATACAAGGAGAAGATGTCCTTAACTACATCAACATCGACAATCTAGATTAGAAAACCTTTCAATATTGTAAAATCTTGTATATCTTTTATCTTTTCTTTCAGTATATAGCTTTTATGTTTTAAGCCTACCAAAACCAATTGTAATCATTTGTAATACTATGTCTTTAAATATATTTCAATAAAATCATTGGTTTACTGAAAAAGATCCATCAAAGAGTAAATGAGACATGTACTTATGAGTTCTTTTTATTTCTTACATTCTCTGACACCCTTCTTGACTATGAATTTTTCAAAGTAAAAAAACTTAAATTGGTCATTCAAACCCCTCGTCGCCTCACTGTCATCTGTTATATATCATTGCCCATTACCGTTTTCGGCCCCTGGCATCAATCTCTCTTTTCGCTTTTTTTTTTTGCTTTTTGATTATCCATATTTTTTGACATCTCTATATGCAGCGCCGATCTTATGGTTTTGGATATTTTGGGCGGAGAGTCAAAAATATGTCCCTAATTCAACAATCTAATAAACAAATAACATATAACTTTTAAGGGGTTTGAAACTTAGTCCAAGTAGACGGCTCATCCCCATACCAATTTTATTCAAAAAAAGGAAGTTACAACTCAGGGGCATAAACCAAAACTCCAAACAACAAAACAAAGATTCAAAAATAAATATAGTTAATAAAAGAGATGGATAGAATAAGTCACTATCTTTTGTTAATCAATTATAAGCATAATTACATCCTGTAATAGTGAAAATATAGTTACCGTATCGTAAGGTAAGTGTTTAACATAAAGTATATGGTATTTAGAGACATCTTCTTGCCTTTTAAGCCAATATTTAGGATTTCAAAAATACTTTTGGTGTATGTTGTTCTGGTTACATGGCTTTAGGTGTCTAAAAGGCAATTATGATCGTTGGAACCTTGTTTGGATCTATCTTGCCGAATTTAGTCAAGTTTTTAATTAATGAACCAAGGAATTTGGGTTTCAAGAAGTCTTAGTTTTATTTTAATGGTTTATATTGTTGTTAGAATTTATTCACTCCAGTGAATACCTATGATTCTTCCATCTCTTGCATTTCCCTTTGAATGGTACTGCTAAGAGAGCATCCATGTCTATTCTTGCCTCAATATTTAATCTATTAGCTGTCATATACTGTCTGACTTGCATCTAATTGTAATGGATATAAATAGCTGAGAAACTCCTCCTTCTCACTACCAAGATGCCAAGAAGCATATATCTTGAAGATCAACTTTCTAGCTAAGAAAAGACTTCCTCACAAGCACATACTTCATAATATGTCGAAGTTATCTTTACTTCAAATGAAGAACACCAACTAAACTCTTTCTTTAGCGAAGTTATTGTTTCTTCTTTTAGCAGATCTTTTCTTTTTTGCTTTTTGTATCTTGTGTGTTCCCTAGATTATTTTAGATAAGTTCTGTATCTTATCTTATTCCACAAACAGTCTGTAAATTTTGTATTGATCTTCTTTATTAAGAATTTTAAAAAGTGAAAACTGTTATGTTTGTATTCACCCTCCCCTCTCGGTTCTACAAACTGTTACCTTTAAATCTTGTAGATCCGTCTGGACCAACAAAAAGTAGGGGACTTAATCATTAAAGGTGAGAAAGTTTAATGGTTTTTTCATTCAAAAAAATAGTTCAATGACTTAACCATTGATCAGAATGAGAAAGTTTAATGGTTTTTTCATTAAAAAAAATAGTCCAATGACTTAATCATTCAAAATTGAAAAGTTAGTTGGATTTGTTTGAACTTCTCCCTATTATATTCATTAAAGTTCCATTGGTTAAAAGACGAATATAAATAATAATAGCATAAACTCAAAAGACATAAAATACGTGAATCTAAACCGGATTGAAGACTTTCCTCGAAGCTCTTTGGGCAATATTATAGCATTGCGCATTTCCTCATGAGTTCCGTTCAGCGGAAGGGCTCTCTGCGGAGCTCCAAGTGGCCGTTTTTTTTCTTGGATCATTTTTCAACTCAACTTATAGTTTGGACAGTCATGGTGGATACATAAAGGAAATAATGGGCCAACCCAACAAAATGAAGAAATCATTAAAGCAAGCCCATATTTTTGAAAACCAACTTATGTAATTTCTAAAATAGTTCACACATACATATTTACAAATTATAAATATGTGTATACCAATGTTCTAAAGACTCGCCATAACACTTATCGTGGCTCAAGACTTGTGTTTGACGTCACGTTAAGCCTATGACATCCGATAATTTGTAGGTTTTCTAACTGCATATTTCATTTCTTATCTTTTTAATGATTTACTTATTGTTTTGGTTTAAATAATGTCTTATATAAGATTAATAATAAAAAGTAGAGTTAGGGCATGTTCAATTGTTTTTCCATTATGGATTAATTTGTCTGTATGGATAAAATTGTTGTTCATTTACTGTCCTAAATAAACCGTCTGAAAGACAAAAATGACAATTTTACCCTTATTGTTTGTATTTCATGAAGCTCATTTTCAATCATCGAACAACATTTTTTGGATAAAGGATCAGCTAAACCATCTAATTCACTAACATCAACTAACTCCCCATGTAACTGATTAGTTATATCAAGTGAAACAATTATAATCAAGATGTGTTTCACAATTATCATCAATAAGAACACAACTATTATGTCTACAACTAGTCTACCACTGAAAAACTAGAACAATGTACACAAGCATTTCATCAAACACCTTATATGCACATACATTTTATCACACAGCTCCAGCTCTTGTTACATAAATAAAATACCAGATGTGTAGAAAACAGAACAAGAAAATTTGACCTAAAAGAACCACAACATATTTATATAACATAATTGTCAAATTTTTACATAGTAAATCTAAAGTTTCTACTAAACTTGGAGTCTAAGTCTTCAATTGAACTCGAAAATCTAAAGCTTTTAAAAGAACTTAGGGATCTAGAGTGAGATGAGAAGAAGGTCAAATAAACCCAACAAACTAAACCTGTTTTTAGAGAAGGGCATGAGATGAAAATTTCATGGCTTACTAGATAGGACACATGTTTTTAGGCTGCACGAAGAAGTCATCTTCTTATTGACTAGCCATAACCGAACACTTTTGTCTGGCTTATTGAATAATCCATACAGACCATACTGACTATACACCCATTAAGCCCCTTATGAACAACCACTGAATTTCATATATCTATAAAACGAGTCCAATAATCAAAACCTCATTGAATGCATTAACATACATTGGTTTGACGGATTGTCTTTTGAGGGACTCGAATTTATTGAAAGGATTTCGAACCTTAGATTAGTTTGGTTTGTATGATTTGTAATGAAATTGAATTTCATTTTTATAGATAATTTACAAAAATAATAAAACCACCTTTTATTAGTTAAGTTTTACAAACAATGTTTTTAACATGTTTAATCTAAAACATTATTCCAAATACATCATATGAAATCCTGTGAAATACCAATAATCCCATAAGGATTTCAAAATACAATGTCTATGAAATTCCAATTCAAGATTTACGAGGAGATGGAAAAAATTAAGTACTTTTTGGGTCGTTTGGTTTGTGTGATTTGACACAAACCAAACGACCCAAAAAATACTTACTTTTTTTCTTTTTTTTGTTCTCTTTTCAGTTTCTTGGTTATAAATGTAAAAATAAGAGTTAAATTTACGGAGCGTATGGGTGTAATTGGATGATTATGATTGTAGATATTTTTCACATAGTAGATTTTCTTTCTTAAAACCCGTGTTTCAAAATAAATATATAAAATCGTATATTTAAACATAAATTTTAATAAATAATTATATTAAGTTTTCCATTATTGATGTGAGTTACGTAAATAGAGAAGCATTCATATGTAAACAGGGTCCATGGAGATGCAGTATGAATGAGTTGGGAAATCTTTGAAAATAGACCCATGAGAGAAAAGGTGTGTTAGCATCATGGCAGCTTTTATGATATATTTATTTGGGATCAAGATTTCTGTGGCCCAACCAATCCTATATATTTTCACAACCAGCATCCAATGAATCGAACCATTTAAATACAAAATTTAGTGGGTGTTTGGAATTGCTTATAAAAACAACTTATTGACTTATTTTACTGTGACATCACATCGGTAATAAGCACTTTTGAGTGTTTGGATAAACAACTTATACTGATGCCAAACCGGTAATAAGAAGTTTTTGAAGAAGTTAAACCCTTCTGATTTATAATAAGTTGATAAATCCTTTTGTAGAAAAACATAAGTTGTTTCAGATAAACAATCTCAAACACCTCCTGAAACCATGCTTATCTTCACATAACCAAAATATTATCATGACTTTGTCTCTATAACTTGTGTATAGTTTTATATTAGAATAGTAGGAAAATGAGGTTATCAAATCCGTTGAAAATGCAGTTTAGAGTAACTTTGAGAACTGATTTAATCTATGCCATTAATTATATAAACAAACAGATGAGATTGGTTTATGGGATTTGTATCATATGACATGATTTGTATCTGTAACTATTATAACTATATATATGATATTCAAATATATTATCGTATGTCACATCTTAAAAAAAATGTCGTATTTCATTAATTATTACGACATTTATGGATTAAGGTTTGATGTTACCGCAATACAAACATTTGGAACGTCGATTGTAAGTTGAGTGTTTAGAAGAAGTAAAAAGAAAAAGAAAAAGAAATAATATAATGTCAGAAAATGAAAGGGAAGGAAGTTAGTAGCACTGGTTTCATCCATATTGCAGCAGAGGGCAGAATGGTACTATCACCAAGTACTAGAACGCAGCAAAAATCTATCATACAGAATCACAACAGTTGCCCAATACCAAAAGTGGGTCCCATCATACACCTCTATTTCCCTTTCTACCCTTCACTTTTTTTTTCCTTTCCTTTTTCTTAATTTTTCTATTTTCTCTTCAAACGAATGCTTCTTTCCCGATTCCAGCCTCCATCCCTTAATCTCGTTGTCTCCGAATCTCGCTTCCATGGGTTTTTATATACTATTAATTAATTATTTCTGGTTTTGGGGGCGTTAATGTTGTTATTAAGGATTCTTCCTTTAATTTGTTGTGGGACAACAGCAACCGTAGCAGCAACATCCAGTAGGAAATAAATTTGATGTCACATTCCTCAGATCTTTATCCTTGGTGTTGCTGGTTCCTCATCTGGCTGAAATTGATGTTCTGTTACAGTACGTATTACCCATAATTAATTAATCAATTCAATTAATAATATGTTTTTTATATTGTAATATTCTAACACCATTAATGAAGAATTATATGAAAACATCTTTTCTGTTAATCGTGCGTGTCTAAATTAGGTTGTACATACCTCCCTAGTTTTATAAGATCTCGAAAAACAATCACGAAAATTCCAAGCGGTACTGAAAGGACCAGTGACTTTTTTTCTTAATAAATCTTTCTTGTTAAACACGTAACATATTTTTTTTAGATTAACCTGGATATCCAACCCGCTATGTGAGCCGACTAATCCCAAAGCAACCACCTGCTTTGCAGATAGCCCGAAGTCTTCGCATTTGAACCTCCGTGGCCACAAGGGATTTTTATTTCACTCTGGATTTGAACTTGGAACCTCCTGATACTTTTGACCTTTGAAGTCAAGCTCAAACCAATCAGGCACCACCCTTGTGGTTAAATTTTTAGTGTAATGTAAATGAAGGTTAGTTAGAGAATAACCAAAATGAATCGGATTGGATCAGATTGGATTCGGTTTCATTTGGTTTATAATTAATTGATGTATTAATATAAAGTCAAAATATTGGACCACATTCCCAGATTCATTTCAAATCTTTGTCATTCAGCCCACAATTTAATTTGCCTTCCCACCATTCCTCACTTTTTCAACAAGTTTGCTTCCATCAAAGGACATGTATTAATTAATTATTATTCAAAGGATATATGTAAATTTCGTACTACTTATAGATTTTTATTATTTAAAATTATTAAATTAAAATGTAATTAAAAATCATAAAAAGATTGTGTGCATATATTAAACCTTGGAAATATGCATGTACTTAGGTTAATTAATCAAAAAGTGGGGGAGGTTTGACCGGTCCAAATTAAATTATAAGTATGATTACGATTAATTAATTACATGAAAATATATGTTTCATTAGAGGAGGCAGCAAAATCATTCGCCCACATCTTTCAACTTAATTTATTATTATATACAAAAATTAACTGGAATATTTTTAATTTTTTAAAATCGAAAATGAAAAAAATAAAAAGTTTATTTAAAATATAAATTATCATTTTTTGAACATTGAAGTCCAGCAAAACAACACATGGAGTATTTAATATTCGTAAAGATAATGCTATAAAAAATAATTAAATTAGGAATCTTATTTTTCAATATTATTTAAAAATGATTAAAATCATAAAAAGGTTAAGTTTTGATTTTATAAAATAAAAAAAAAGTTGGTGGAAGTATATAGTAGTTACACTATTAATCATATCTGACTAAATGTAACGTAACTATTTCCCGAAATGATTATAATTTAGATTTTTTAAAGACAAATTAATTCAATCGTATCTTTGGATATATCTTGTTTATTGAATTAGTACAAAATAAGCATAAAATTAATCAACCCTTTTTCCCTTAAAAATATGTAATCATATCTAATTTCTTTTAATAATTAATTAACAAACCAATTTATATATGGTTGAAAATAATTAATTAATAATAAATGGGGAAATTAATGAAACGTGCTTACCATATCCTGATTCTGATTGAGATTGAGATTGTTGTGATATTGGTAGTGGGGTTGACCACCAGCACCACCACCCCCCTGGTGACTCGAACCATCTGGGGTGGATGGCTCACATTCATCTGGGCATTCAAGGTTCACACCAAACAGTCTTACCCTTCTTGGGTTCCCACTTGCAGCCACCATATCTCTTTGCTTCTTTTCCACATTATCATTTATACCTCCTGCTCCTGCATTTCCATTATTAAATTATATATATATATATATATATATTATATATATCAATATTTTATTCATTATATAATAATATATGTAATTTCTAGATCAAACCCAAACAAAATATCTACTTTGAACAATTTCCTAAATTATAAAATATATGAAAATACATATATATTTGGAAATTAAATAAAAAATGTTGAATTTTGTGAATACAGAATTATATAATTTAAGTAAAGATAGATGAAATTAATTTAGGTAATGAAATGCAGATATTTGTTGAAAAGGGGGAGTAGTAAATTATGTGATGAACTCCAAAAATATTGGTGGGGAAGTGTGACGATTCATAATTAATGTGCAAATGTACACGTATATATATATATGTATATAATATATATATATATATATATATATATAATACCTGCATGAAGACAGTCAGGTTTATATGGATGAGGAAGAGATAGAGGTAGGTGGTGAGAAGGATAATTATAGTGCGCATTATAGAACCCACTGGTGGTCCACCCAGCACCACCACCGCCGCCGCCGCCGCCGCCGGTTGGCTGAGCTACCGGCACGCTATCTAGCATCGGCATGGCAGCAGGCCTCCGTCTCCACCCGATAAACAGTCTGTCACAATCGAACCTATGACGTTCAAACAAAACGACGTCACCGGCATCTAAACGCTTTTCCTTTACGAAACGGCTCCAGCCTTTGGTCAACACGTAGCTTTGACTGCTGTTCCAATACGAGTAGCGGAAACGCCACGGCTTTCCGGTCTCATCCTCGAAACTCAGCAGCAAGCCTTTCTGTTGGTCGACGGCCGGCGCGGAATCTCCGCCGCCGAGAGGGAAGTATTTCTCGGCGTGTTGTTTGGGAATGACGAGACGGTTGAGTTTGCCGACGTCGCTGGGAGTTAATGGTTTCTCGAACATGGGTTGTTTGCAATTGGAATCTTGTGGTTGATTATCGTCGTAATGGGGGTTTAGGTTGAAATTGAAGGCGGTGGGGGGTGGGTGAGGATGGTGGTCGATTGGAAATTTGGGGGAGGAGTCCATAATAGGGTATGGATACCAGAGTGTTTCTGGTAGGTGATTAGAAGATAAATGAGTAAGGGACATATGTGTGTGTGGGGCAGTGAGAGAGGAATAGAAATAGAGGCGTGAGGAATATGGTTTTTGATGTGGAAACTATTTGAGATATGTATATGTAGCTGAGACTTGAGAGAGAGGGGGCGGTGGGGTGTGGGCCTTGTGGGCGTAGGGGTGGGATTTTTTCATATATATATATATATAGGATAGATAGAAATTAGAATATGGATATCTTTGTTGTCACGTTAATAAGTTTAATGAGACTTACAGTTTATTTAATTAGTTATAGATGACTATTTGATAGTGATTTAAGTTATGTATGATAAACTAGTTGATAAATAAATCATATTTGACAAAACTATTTGATGAAATTGTAAATAAACACAAAAGTTATTTTGAAAAATTAATCGGTTATAATATTTCAAACTATAATTAAAACATATATATAATATAAGTAATACAAATAAGTTGGTAAAAAATTTAAAAATATAATATATTGATTAACAAAATTTTAAATTGATTATTATATATATATAATTTATTATAAAATATTTAATAAAAACTTTTAAAAAAATTTATGCTTTAAGTAAATTATACGTAAATACAACCTACTAAAGTTTTCATGTTGAATTTGTGTAATTGACTACAAATATACATAATTAAATAGAGGATAACATCTCATTTAAATATAAAAATATAAAATGTAATTAGAATAATCATTAAGTTCTAACAAAATACTTAATTATTATCTTTGTAAAAAATTATATTATTAAACAAAAAATTAAAAAATAAATTAAAGAAATATACAAAAAATGAAAAATTTTAAGTAGTTAATTTGTTGTTAATATCAATATTTTTTTTTCAAAATTTTATGATATTTTCATATTTATATTTATTCAAAAATAAAATCATTATCACTTTCTTAAAACCACATAAAATCGTATTATAATATTGATTGAAACAAAAATAAATAAAATGAAACATTAAAATCGAGATGTACCTCGCTTTATTATGCGAGTACCTTTCTAGTATATTCTAATGTTTGAATTTGTTAAATAAATGTTAGAAAAAATCTATGCGAGTACCCTTCTAGTATATCCTAATTAATTAATATTTAAAAAAATATATTTAACAATTAAATTAATATTTTATTCAAATTATATAACACATTTTTATTATTTATGAAACAAAATAAGT